AGTGCCCAACAGCAGATGCTGCCCCAAACCAACCGCGGCCGCTGTGGGGCAGGCGGCCATCTGCCTCAAGCGGGCACAGGCCGCGGCGGCGCGGACGGCGAGCCCAGCTCAAAATGAGCAGGAGCTGCCGTTGGGCACTGTACCCATTATCTTTCCGTACCCACTTCGCTCGACCACAGAGCCGCTGCGGGCAGCCATGCGCAGAGGGGGGGGCGGGGGGCAGGAGGCAGGCCAGCGGCCATAGGAGGCGTCGGGCAGGCAGCGAGGGGCCGGGCGGAGAGGGAGCAGCGAGAGGCAGCGCGGCGGGAAGGGGGGGGCGGGGCGCCGCCCGCCCCTGCACGGCCACGAGCGGGAAACTGGGCGCGGCGCTGGCCGGCCCTCCTCCGCCGCACGAGGACCCCAAGACTGGCCCCAGACGTCCCCAGTACGGCCCCCCAGGCCTCCAAGCAGCAGGGGGAGGGGGGAGCGGCTCCTCGGAAGCACCCCTGCGTCTCCCAAAGGGGCGGGGGGCCTTCTCTGTAGACGTCAGGCCGGCGCCTTCCGAGGAGCAGCCTCCCTCTGAGAAGCCTCCTTGCGCGCGCGCGCTCCTGAGGGCAGCAAGGGAGACGCAGGTCCAGCCATACCAGCGCGGCATGAGCAGAAGCTGTCGGAGCTCCGAGCGGAGCTCTGGGATTTTCGCTGGACACCGCCGGTGGCGCCGCTGTTGCCGCCGCGAGCACGCTCCGATCGCCAACCCGCGGGAACCTCAGAAGGCCTGAGCTTATGCAATTGCTGCTCTGAGCTTAGGGTTTAGGGTTTAGGGTTTAGGGTTTAGGGTTTAGGGTTTAGGGTTTAGGGTTTAGGGTTTAGGGTTTAGGGTTTAGGGTTTAGGGTTTAGGGTTTAGAGCTTATGCAATTGCTGCTTCTGCGCTGCTGCTTCCTCCAGGAGGGGCGTCGCGCGCTCCTCTGGCAGCCACCCCTGCGGGACTGGGGGCCCTGGCAGCCACCCCCTGCGGGACTGGGGGCCCTGGTGGCGAGTCCTTGCCCCTCCGGCTGTTTCGCCCACTGCTGCCCCCCCCCCCCCCCGATCCTGCCGGTGGCTCCCCCGCCCACGCCGTCTTCGGGGGCCCCCAAACGGTGCGGTGACCACACCGTGCGGTGAGTCGATGGGGATTCGGGGTCACCGCACGGTTTTGGGACTCGGGTCGTCCTCCGAGGACGTCTCGGGCGACAGGGGCCTCCGAGGTCCCAAAACCGTGCGGTGACGGACCGTGCGGTGAGGTCTTGGGGGATTTCGAGGTCACCGCACGGTCCGTCACCGCACCGTTTCGGGACCCCCAACGTCTGGGGTTCCTCGCTACGGATGCTGGGGGCGGAGCTTCGCCCTGGGGAGAGGGGGTGTGGCGGGAGGTGGGTTGTCGCGGTGGGCTGCCCAGGGCTCGTGACAGCAGTTGGGAGAGGTCATGGACAGAGAGAGAGAGAGATATCAGAGGAGGAAAGGGTACTCATACCGCTCCCCTTCGGCCGTTTAGTACTGTCTTTTTGGGGCCTCCTGGGAGGCCCTCGTCGCCACCGCTGGATTCTCCTCGAAAACGTGACCGCAACGCACCCCGAGATGTCCTCTGAGTAGTGGCTGCCCCAAGAGAGAGAGAGGGAGAGAGAGAAACATAGAAAGAGAGAGAGAGAGAGAGAGAAAGAGAGAGCGAGACAGGAACAAGAAGGGAAAGAGATGGATAGAGAGAGAGGCCAGGGAGAGGTACGGGGAGAGGTGCGGTCGGGCATCTTGCTCCCCGTGTGGCCCCGCCAGCTCCGGCCCACCACGGCTCGGCGACACAAACGCTGACCACCTCCCGGCCCCCGAGCGTCGATGCCCCGAGCCCTTCCCAGCCTCCCGCCCCGCAGAGCTCCGACGAAGGCATCTATAAACCACCACCGTGCCAGGCCAGGGCCATCCTGGGCCCCAGGATGGTGTATAGACCCTACTGGCTCGGCCAGGAGGGCGTATACACCATCCCAGGGCCCAGGATGGCCATGGCCTGGCACGGTGGTGGTGTATAGATGCCTTCTGCGTACGAGCGGAGCGACACGCTACTCCGCTGCCACGGCATTGCGTGTCGCCGGGGCCGCCGCCGCGACACGCCAACAAGCCAAAGTCCCCGACCGCAGCCGGACGGGGCCAGGTTCGGCCTAGCGTAGCAGGCCGTCCCCTTCTCCGCGACGTCCTCCTCGCCTCGCCCCAGGACGTGTGCGCGAGCGGCCGGAGGGGCAGCTCGTAAGGCGAGGAGGGCGCTGCGGGAATGGATGGTTAGCGAGGGGTCCTTCAGGCCGCGCCCCGACGGGGAGGCGGGACTGTCAAATGGACTGGTCAAAGTTCAGGAAGGCCCTTCGGGGCTTTGTCCGCCCCGCCGCGAGCGCCGCCACGCCGGAGGGCCTGTGCGCCAGCGCGGCGGGGGCACCGGGCCTGGGCCCAGCAGGAGGGCCACGGCGCGGGAGGAGGAGGAGGAGGAGGAGGAGGAGGAGG